TCACACATTGCAGGCCCCATAACTTTCTTCACATAGGTTCAAATCATGCGTGCGGTATATCACTGGAAAGCACTCTTCAATAGCTACACAAAGACATGCCTATAAATAACGAATAAGGACAGACACATAAGGGATTCGGAGGCCGCCCTAGGCCCGAGGTATGATATATAAAAACACCAATCAAATATTCCAATAAAAGTAAGAATTATTTGGAGGTAAAAAACCTCGTGCGTACAGAACATTGAAACGAGATGCGACGACAATAGGAAAATAAAAAGAGGTATAACTCGAGGACTTGATTGATGTTTTTTATATATCATACCTCGGGCCTAGGGCGGCGTCCGAATCCCTTATGCGTCTGTCCTTATTCGTTATTTATAGGCATTTCGCGAATCTAGACGTTAAAAACCTCGATATCGATGTTCAAAACGTCGATATTTTCAAGATCTTTAGGTTTTAAAACGTTGATATCGACGTTTCAAAAACATCTATATTTCAGCAACCCAGATCTCTATGTTTTAAAACATCGATATCCTGCGTTTTTATCTCTTTTCACCCGCTAGTCCGTTTAGGCTGATGACACCGTATTTTGACGTTTTAGATGCATTTCACTCCTCTATTCCGCACAAATTTAGGAATTAGATGGCATTTTAGGCACAAAAACCGTTTTCTTTGGTCTTTGATGTGATTTCTGGTATATTCAAGTATTTGGACGAAAATAAAGCTAAAACGGTGTATTTTAGAGCTAAAATGGACCAAGTTGGCAATCATGGACTTTCACGGACATACCACGGGCAAAAAGAGTGCATTCTGAGTTGCTCGGGAGGAAAAACAGAAAGACTTGCAACAATCACACATTGCTGGCCCCATAACTTTCTTCACATAGGTCCAAATCATGCGTGCGGTATATCACTGGAAAGCACTCTTCAATAGCTACATAAAGGCATCAAGATCGCCCTAGTCCGACATCGGAGAAGAAAGTTATGAGCAAAATATCGAGACCATATCAGCCAGTGTCAAAATATCGATGTTTTGGAACATCGATATCGATGTTCGGTAACCTAGAGATCTAAGTTGCCAAAATATTGATGTTTTGAAACATCGATATCGATGTTTTAAAACATAGAGATCTGGGTTGCTGAAATATAGATGTTGTTGAAACATCGATATCAACGTTTTAAAACCTAAAGATCTTGAAAATATCGACGTTTTGAACATCGATATCGAGGTTTTTAACGTCTAGATTCGCGAAATGCCTATAAATAACGAATAAGGACAGACGCATAAGGGATTCGGACGCCGCCCTAGGCCCGAGGTATGATATATAAAAAACATCAATCAAATATTCCAATAAAAGTAAGAATTATTTGGAGGTTAAAAACCTCGTGCGGACAGAACATCGAAACGAGATGCGACGACAAAAGGAAAATAAAAAGGGGTGCAACACGAGGACTTCACAGGAGGTCACCCATCCTAATACTACTCTCGCCCAAGCACGCTTGACTGCGGAGTTCGGATGGGATCCGATGCATTAATGCTGGTATGATTGCACCCGTCGACTCTTGCGTTCACTGCGTTTTTATCTCTTTTCACCCGCTAGTCCATTCACGGCCTTCTTTTCCCCCGCTAGTCCGTTCACGGCCTTTTGCCACTCTTGACTCCACAAAATATAGCCGCGAAATCCGAGTTCTCCGGTTTTTTCTCAACAGTTTGGTTATCGTACCATTTCCGCCTAGAACAAACAATAATATAACAAACCCATGCCAAACAAATGAACATCGGTGGAACGAGATCCGATGGAAAAAATGGCGCAACTCGTGCAACCGGGTATTGCATTAGAATTCATCAAACAAGACAACAGTTATCGTCTTCGTTAAACCGAAACGAGGTGTGAAATATAAACAACATCAATCAAATATTATAATAAAAGTAAGAATTATTTGGAGGTTAAAAATCTCGTGCGTACAGAACATCGAAACGAGATGCACGACAAAAGGAAAAGAAAAAGGACTGCAACTCGAGGACTTCCCAGGAGGTCACCCATCCTAGTACTACTCTCGCCCAAGCACGCTTGACTGCGGAATGGGATCCGGTGCATTAGTGATGGTATGATCACACCCGTTGACTCTTGCGTTCACTGCGTTTTTATCTCTTTTCACCCGCTAGTTCGTTTAGGCTGATGACACCGTATTTTGACGTTTTAGGTGCATTTCACTCCTCTATTCCGCACAAATTTAGGAATTAGATGGCATTTTAGGCACAAAAACCGTTTTCTTTGGTCTTTGATGTGATTTCTGGTATATTAACGTATGTGGACGAAAATAAAGCTAAAACGGTGCATTTTAGAGCTAAAATGGATCAAGTTGGCAATCATGGACTTTCACGGACATACCACGGGCGAAACGAGTGCATTCTGAGTTGTTCGAGAGGAAAAACGGAAAGACTTGCAGCAATCACACATTGCAGGCCCCATAACTTTCTTCACATAGGTCCAAATCATGCGTACGGTATATCACTAGAAAGCACTCTTCAATAGCTACACAAAGAAATGCCTATAAATAACGAATAAGGACAGACACATAAGGGATTCGGAGGCCGCCCTAGGCCCGAGGTATGATATATAAAAACATCAATAAAACATTCCAATAAAAGTAAGAATTATTTGGAGGTAAAAAACCTCGTGCGGACAGAACATCGAAACGAGATGCGACGACAAAAAGAAAATAAAAAGAGGTACAACACGAGGACTTTCCAGTGTTGGTTTAGTGCTCTATGATGTACTGATTATGAGCTTTGTTCAGATACATTCGATGTATTGATACTTTCTATGTGGTTTTATGAGAGTATTTTATTCATTACATGTTCTTGCATGCTAGATCTGTTATGAAATCCATGTATCATTAGGAATGATACTAAACTCCCTAGTCTTGTGTCGTTATTCCCATAACGACATAATAAGACTAGTGTGGAAGGAGGCTGTAATTCGTCTAGTGAAAGCCAGAGTTCACAAACTCAAACAAAAATGGTTTTCTGAACCCTATATGGATCCTCCTTATTGGGTCGAAAAAGATCATTGGGATCGAATGGTGGAGCATTGGGCTTCTCCAGCTGCCAAAGAAAAAAGTCAGCGAGCGTCTCAGAGTCGAAAAGCTGAAATGGTTCCTAATGCCGGAGGGCATGTGCATACATCGGGAGCTAAGCCTTTCAGTCGTGTTATGCATGAAATGGCTAAAAAAAGTGAAGCGCCAACGTTCGTAGATCTGTTGAGAGCAACACATACACGAAAAGATGGTGTGATGGTTGACGGAAAAGCCCAACAAATCGCGGAACAAATTCAGCATGAGGTATATTTTCTAATATAATTTTTTTTTAATGTTAATATTTTATATTTAATTTTAATTGTTTTTTAATATTTTAGATTATTGCGTCGCAAACAACACAAGGCGAAACTTCTGCATCGGAACCGAATTTGCCGAAGGAGAAAATTGATGAGATATATCTTCAGGTAATTTTTAAATAAATAAATTTATAATAATTTCAATTCAATTTTAATTTAAAATAAATTATTAACTAATTATATTTTTATTATATAGGTTGTTCCACCGAACAAATTTGGACGGATATACGGTCTCGGTTCAATGCAAACCGATATCACATATCATTCTGGTGAAGATGCTCCTTCAACTGCTCAGGAAACGCTTTCACTCGCACGACGAGTGCGACAATTAGAGGAGCAGCAAGCTGAACTTCTTCGGCAACAAGCGGAATTCTTGCGTCGACAAGAAGAAGATCGAAAACTCATTGAAGAACTACGAGTGCAAGCAGAATTTTTCAATGAGTTCCAAACGCGAGGATTTCCGAGTTTCGGAAGCGGAGGACAAGGAAGCGGTGGCGGTGGCGGTGGCGACGGCGATGAAGCCAATTACGACGGGGAAAATCAAAATTAAATATTTTATATTTTTTTTGGTTTGTAAATTAATTACGTAGAACTTTAATTATATATTTATATATAATAATATTTTTTTTTATTTTTTTTATTTTTTTTATTTTTTTTATTTTTTTTATTTTTTTAATATAGTGACGAAATTAGTGACGCAATTGCGTCACTAATTTGGTGACGACTGCGTCACTGCGTCACAAAATAGTAACGCAGTTGTTCACGCAATATCGTCAGTAATTTATGACGCAATTGCGTCACCAAAACGCGTCAATAATTAGTGACGAAATTTCGTCACTAACTGGTGACGACTTGGTGACGAAACTGCGTCACTAATTGGTGACGCACATGGTGACGCAAAATGCGTCATAAATTGGTGACGATTGGGTTACGCAATTGCGTCACTTTTTAGTTACGCAATTTCGTCACCGTTGCGTCACCAAATGGTGACGAAATGTATGCGTCACCCCAGCGTCACCAATTGGTGACGCTTGGTGACGAAATTGCAAATGGTGACGGTGCTATTGGTGACGCTTTTTTTGCGTCACTATTGCGTCACCCTTTTAAAAGGGTGACGCAAAATCGCCCTATGGTGACGCAAAATTTGCGTCACCTTTGTCGTGTTTTTTTGTAGTGATGTCTTTAATTGTTAGAATGCATGTAGACTATAGATCTATGCATGTTTTCATGGTTTTAATGGTTAGAATGCATGTAAACATGAGATCTATGTTTGTTTGATGATCTTGATTATTGAATAAAGCATGGATGAGCTATGGTTCTTAGGAGGCTTGATGGTGCGTCGAAACGGGGATGAAAACCCTAGTTTACGGGACCCGAAACCGAGATCCGAAGTCTGTCCGTCGCATGGACCGAACGGTCTAGAGTGTAGACCGATCGGTCTACGCATGACGGCGGTTGTTCCTTTTAGGTCAAATTAGGTCAGACCGAACGGTCCAAGGGTTGGACCGACCGGTCTGGACCGATGACCATAAGAGGGGTTCGGATCACGTTTGACAGACCGTCCGGTCTGGTCTTCGGACCGACGGTCTGGTGCTTGCGGAACGGTCCGTCCGTTCTCCACTGGAACGGACGTTCCGGAACGGCTGGACCGTCCGGTCCAGGTCTGGACCGGATGGTCTGGCCATCTGGAACTCTTCCAGATCGCTCC